AGGGGGATAGGCGTTCTTCTGAAGGAGAAGCTGAAATTGGAGGAAGGGGGAAAGCAAAAGTTTTACACAGCACAGTAATTGTAAAAGCCTTCTTAGAGCTAGAACAGTATTAAGCACCAAACAGTATAAAAAGCAAATACATAGGTCTGACAAAGGCGTCTGACCATTGATCTGTTTTTCGATCACCGTGTTCCTCACATGTATAAGGATAATTTTACACAGCAGTAGGAGTACTCCTGCATTTTTTTTGCATAATCAAGGTATTTTTTATAAATAAGAGAAGACATTAGTATATTATCTGGTACTTTCTACTCCCCCACATCTCCATCTTGCTGCTTTTCTATCTTCTCCTTACACTTGCTTAAAATTAGAAAATTCCTGTTCCTCCAGCTTTGTTAGTGACCTGCCTACTTTTAACACAACCCTTGTAATAACTGAACAATAGTGCAAGTTAACAAATTCAGCTTTCATTTTTCTCTCACATCAGTACAGGATTTCTTCTGTCTGTTCATTCCATGTTTTCTCAGGTGATTAGGTTGGATATTAGGAAGAAATTTTTTACAGAGAGAGTGATCAGACATTGAAATGGGCTGCCCAGGGAGGTGGTGGATTCACTGTCCCTGGAGGTTTTTAAGATGATACTGAATGTGTCACTTAGTGCCATGGTCTGGTAACCACAGCAGTGTTGGATCAAGGGTTGGACTTGATCTCGGAGGTCTTTTCCAACCCTGCTGATTCTACGATTCTGTGATCTACTGACTGGCTTGTCCTAATGTCTAAACTCTAATGAGACAGCTCAGAGGCACAAGAGCCAAGAGGTGTATTTCAGGATATCCTCAGAGAGAAAAAGTACAGAAGATAGAATCCTGAATGTTCTTGGAACCATGGAATCATTAAGGCTGGAAGAGATCTCCACGGTCATCAAGTCCAACATTGCCTGAGTACCACCATGCCCACTAAACCACATGGCAAAGAATGGGAATCTGCTACACATGGAATGTAATGTAAACACTGACACAAAGGGAGGGAGTACGTACCTCCTGCAAGTCTGCAGGTGCAGCTGAAGCAGAAGCAGAAGCAGAGGTAGAGGAAGGTAAGTCCGGGAACTGCTTTGCATGACTCATGTTGTACTCAGAATTGTTTTGCGACTAGACAGAAATGAAAAACAGCTTCAAAGATATTTATGAAATGTTTCAAAAAAGATTAATGATAGAAAAACAGCTGCTTTCAGTTTCTATTGTAAATTACATATTGCAAACTTTTAAAATTTAAAGCAACAGACACTCTGTGGAGTAGGTTTCTCAGCAAAACATGTTCTTTGCAGCCATTTGATAAAACTTCTAACCACCATCAAATAGGCCAAAGCCTCACCCATACTCTACTCTGAATTTCCTAAAACATATTTGTTTAGGAGATTCATGAGGAACAAATTCCTGACAACTACCAGAACAAGGAGGTGAGAAGTATGTGGTATCTGAACATATGTGGTATCACCCTGAAAGAGGAAATCATTACCCAATACAATTATGCTTGAATAACATCATCATTTTTACATAACTGTAACATATTTTTATTGCTTTCTGATATATCACTGAAAAACTAGGCTGCTGGAACCTAATTTTCCAGCAGACAAAATTGTGACCTCCTCAAAATCAAATTAGAGCCCATTTAGAAATTAAATTCGAGAAAGGACTGATTTGATTTACCTCCTTGGTTTTCCCCAGCATGCCTGCACACACACACACACACACACACACACACACACAGAGAAATGAAGACATTACCACTGCCAGACATATTTCATTAAAGAGAGCATGAATTGCTCTTGATTAATGACCAAAGGATTGGGCCTTAGGGTGCCTTAAAAATGAATAAACTATGAAGTTTATGAGGAGAGTCATTCATTCTTAAAGGTACAAGAGTTATTAAAAAAGCCATTGTTCATTCTAAAGCAACTCTTGACTTAGATGCCAATTAACCTTTCAAACAGCTAAATATCTGAGAAAAGGAATCCTTAATAAGTAAATTATAAAGGATTAGATCTAAAGAATATTCAGCAAGTGCCTTCTAATTAGAGTACTTCCAATGTCAAACCACTAACCACCAGTAATGACCAATTTCATCTGAAGTTCTGAAAAAGTTACTGATCTTTCACAGTCACTGCAGAGAGAACTTACCCTCAGGAGCCTCAGGTTCTGTGTTGGCTTTATTTTGCTTTGGTCTTCTGTTTGCTTAGAGTTTTTCCGTCCTCCCCCTCACTATAAACGCCCTTGTTGTTACATGCTCTGGAAAAGAATTGACAGACTCATTTCAGGCAGTGCATAAGGTGTCAATCAGCTTCTATCCCAATTGCCAGGAAGAAGAATCCGAGCTCTTCCCTGCCTTGTTTGCAACAGTAAACCTTCCCTCCCTCCAAACCTCCATGCTCTCCTTTTCTCTCCATTCTTCTCAAGCTCACTTTTCACCTTAATCTTTCCAGCTCTCCCCAGATGTCTTTCAAGCTGGATTTTCCCCCCACCCTGCTCTTTCCACTTTCTCCAAAATCAGCTTCCTTCCTGCTCTTTTAATATCCCAGGGACTCTGGGCCCCCAGCTGTGGTTTATAGCAGACACAGCCACACATTAATTGCCATGAGAAATAAGCACATATCAAAAAGAATGGGAAAAGAGAAGGAGAGAGATGCCTAGCATGCCTTACACATCCGCAGGATGCATGAGGGAGCAGGGTAAGAGCAGGTACTACCTGCAAGGTGTCCTTGTTCCCAGTTCCTCTGCCTGTCCCAGCTGACACTCTGCCTCTCACTCCTCGGCTTTGTTGCCCCAGTTACAGCATAGCTGGTGCTCGGAGACAGGAATTCCCTCCTCCCTCTCCTTCCCCAGCAGAGAGAAAACAGCCCCTTTCAGCACAGTGTTGTGCCAAGCTGTGGTCAGGGAGATTCAGTTGTGGAACCAGTGAGGAACTGTACAGGCTCCTTTTACCTCTGAAAGCTACGAACAATTTAGTCCTAAAACACCTGAGATATTCTGACTTTTGCATGAAAATACTGCACAGAGCAAGGAAGCTCCTGAAGCAATAAAGGCCACATAAATCCAAATTTTCTTAGAAAGAATTAGAAAAAAAAAAATTTAAAGATTCAAAATCTTGAACCCAAACATCTCCACCACTTTTCCACCATTCAGAATCAAATTCCCTGAAGATGTAAAGGCAGCAGGTGGGATACTCCCAATTCCGCTGTCTGTTTGTATGCATTTGCTTCCCACTCACAGTCACCACCACGTCCTGAAAGAGTCCTCCATCAGATTTCTCCACAAATGGGAATTATTACCACCCAACATGAAATCTAGCACAGTCTCTTTACACCGACTCTTAAGAGAGGTCTTGTCCATATTCTGACAACAAAACCAACACTTCCATTTTAAACTCTTTCCCACCATCTTTGGACGCTACTTTTTCCCCCCAACTTCCTGCAAGCTGTGAGGATGGCTGATATCCCCGAGTTAACAATCAACAGTTTTCCTTATATTTTGATGTAATACCGACTACAAATGGCATATTGTTCCTGCCTGGCCAGACGTGAAAGCTCCTACCAAAAACGAGGCTCCTCTTTAAACACAGGCCAGCAGTGTGGGGGTACAGAAACAGCACTGCTGATGCTCGTAATTGCTTGCCTACTGCGTGCCTAACTCTCCCAATATTTCAGTGCTGGTTTGCAACATGAATATTTTCCTGCTAATTGGAGCTGACACTGGCATGAAGACAAGCTCAATTAAGCAGCAGTTAGAGTAACTACTGTTCCTCTGTGCGCATCAACTCAGCTACTCGTATATGCACGCCCTTTGAAGTTAAATAAATTACGTGTGCTGCTTGAGAAATGTTAAAACCAGTTATTTCATATAGAGAGAGATTATATATGAGTTTTTAACAGAAGACATAATTACGAGTAGCAGGAAAATAATTTACTAAGATGTGCAAGACTATCTTCCAAACCGCAGCTATGGCATGTTTGAAAACAGCCAGAAATTTAAAATCTTCAATATGCTTTCAACTCAGTGGAGCCATTAAACTTTCATAGTGCCATTTTCACTGGATTATATCACACTATAATTCTGCCAATTACTATGCTCACTTTTAGAAAAAGTATACAAAATCAACAAATTCAAATTTATTACTATATACACTAGTGTACTAGGAATATCAATACATGATGTATTTGTATAATAATATGTGAGATAAACAATTTAATAGTGCAAGCAAAATAAAATTGCCCTCACCATCCTCTTCTTGCAGGTATCTTGTGCTGAACCCGTGGTTCAAATTTGTGCTAATATACAAATCTTACTTCCACTGTTACACAAATCCTTGTACCTGCAGAAATCATTGAAATCAGCATCTCAAAAACACAGAGCTCTGACAGTCTGATAGGTTAAAGCCCCCAGACTTCATAAAATGTTCCAAATTAAACATGCTATCTATTTTGTTGCCTTTAAAAAAATAATTATGAAACCATTAACATTCATTTCTCAATACTCTTAGGTGGCAGCAATCAAAAAGAATTATTAAAGCAGTCATGAGAAACATGAATGTTTTACTTGTTGTAATTTACAGCTTGAAAAAATTCCATGTAGCAAAAGCTGGGAATTCCCTGAAGCCTCGTGCTTGCACGTTAACACCACCCTGATAGTTCTGGAAAACAGCCAGGACGAACCATCACACAACACACCTCACCGAGCATCACTGCTGAGCTGAACAGTCCCATCCAAAATGCTGAGGCACTGGAGGATGCATTGTTTTTGCTGAAAACCCAGGTGAGTTTTTAAAGCAATTACTCCTTACGTGGTGCACCTCCCCAAACAGGTTTGCCACGTGGCCACCAAAACACGCGTGGAGGCCTCGGGACAGGGTGGAAACGTGTGGGAACAAGTAACCAGGATGGGAGAAGGTGGTTGTGCCAGGCGATGTGTTTCACAGCTGCCTGTTCTGGGCGTGACCGAACAGCCACAATGCGCTCCAAGGTGCCTTGTTTGCCTCCCACTGGGGTATCAGCAGCCCCCCAGCCTGGGGACGGTGGGATTAGAGACACATACAGAGCGATGCCTGGATTACAGACACAAACTGAGCGATTCCCGCACTCGGAGCCGCACACCCTGTTCCCCCGGGGCTGAACGTGCCTCTGCACGCCCACACAGCGGCACGGATACCGCACATACCCTCATTTCCCACCCTCAATCCCAAAAAACCCGAGGCTGCACGTCCTAAAACAACACAATCCCCTTGGACACGGCCGAGGGTGCCCGGAGCTGAGCGGCTGAGGTAGGGCCGGGGTGAAGGGCAGACAGAGCCACGGGCAAGGGCACCCCAGGGGCACCGCTGGCAGCCCCCGCTGCCCAGCGGGGCTCAGCCCCGTCCGCCCCTCGCTCAGCCCTGCCCGGCCCCCGCGGGGAGGAGACAGCGGCGGGAGGGCGGCGGCGCTTCGCTGGGCCCCGGCAGGCCCGGCAGCGAGCGGGGCCGCGGTCCGGGGGGCAGAGCCGCAGGTGAGAGGGACGGGCCGGCCCCGGGCAGCGGGGCAGCCCCGCTCCGCCCGCCCGGCCGCCGGCGCTGCCCCTACGGCCCGGCCGCCGCGGGAGGGCCGACGGTCCCGGTGCTGCGGGAGCCCCCTCACCTCCGCGGGGGACCCGCCGGGCGCTGGCGGCGCGGCTGCAGCGCTGATGAACGGGGGTGATTAATGAACGCGTGCTGAGCTGGGCTCCCGGTGCAGGCCGCGGGCCGTGCGGGGGTAACGCCCGGGGCTCGGGCGCGCCCCGCGGGCGGCTCCTGCCCGGCGCTGCCGGCGGCCGGGGCTCAGCCGCGGGGCGTGAAAACAACCCCTAAAACCACGGCAGGACCCGTGGGCACAGGGCCCATGGGCACAGGGCCCGGCCGTGACACCGGCGCGGTGGCTGCGAGGGTTTGCAAACAGGAAAACGCGTCTTTTAAACCTCCCCCTGCAACAACAGATGGAACGGTCGCGGGGGAAGGGGGATCGCTCAGCTGAGGTTTCCTTTAAACTGTCGGGTTTTGCAGAGCTCTGAAGCTGTACAGGGCACGTTTTCAATTCTGAGCACAAGAAAATCAGTCGCTTTAGTGTGTTACCGGCTTCCAGCAGCAGTAGCAACAAATTGTCCATGCAGATTGTTACTGCAATTGCTGCTACACCTCACAGTTAAACACGGGGTTAATGGTATAAAGGAAGAAGGTGAGAGGTACCTGTATCTTGATACTCGGCTTCTGGAGTTCCAGAAGAGCTTGCAGGGACAAGCCCTCTACGTTAGATGTGCTTGTGTAAAAGCAGTGTGTCACACTGTTATGGATCACATCAAGGTCTCCAATCTACGCTCTCTATTCAAAAGAAACATTTGATTTTCAAAAAAACCTGTGTATGAATCTGTTACTAACTGTACCTTAATTTTAAGGAAAATTGGATGGCTGGGTGAGAACTGGTAGTCCAGAGGAAGAGATCGTGGCTGAGGATTGTAACATATCTAGAGAAATGCAGGAACTGCAGAAGCAATGGCACTCCGTGGTGCAGATCATCCACAGCAACGCAAATGTGGGTCTGGAATATAATATTCTATATTTATGAAGTTACTCCTTTAATAACTGTTGGGATGTCATACCCTGATTTATTTAAATGCACTCCCTATTTTAAAGTAAGAACTGTGAGGCCTGTGAAAAGGCCTGTCCTCCCACGCCTTCAGCAATCAGGAAAAAGGGAAACCTGCTCTGTTTTTTGGTATTTTACTGGCATAGCTATTGGAGATGGTAGAGTGACATTTGAGTGAAGTGGTTGTGCTGCTATAAAAAGAACTGAAACTACAATATGTGTTTCCTTAAGGTATGGAAACCTACTTCAGTTAAATTCCAATATATAGATATGACTGCTTCCGTGAAAAGGATTTTTTTTAACCAGTAATATTATAATTAAATTTTTTAAAACTCTGTGATACAGACATGCCTGCACTGTATGAGCTGGTTGCAGATATTACTAAGTCATGGCTAAAAGAAAAATCATTATTTTTAGATGTTACAGGGTTTTTTTTCCTAACAGAGACAGTTTTCTAGATCAAAATAATTGTTGCAGAGACCTCACTGAAATCTGCAGCTAAACTGTGATTTGGTTTTTCACTTGTTTTCAGATTGCTTGGGGGGGGTTGTGTTTTGTTTTTTTGGTTTTTGTTTTGTTGGTTGGTTTGGGGGGGGTGGTGTTTGTTTGTTTGGGGGTTTTTGTTTTTTGTTTGGTTTGGTTTTTTGGTGTGTTTTTTTTTTTAATTTATGTAAGAATAGAACTGGGAAGTCCAAGAGAAACAATGTCTGTTGTTGCTAGAGTTATTATTATGCATATATTATTTATATGCTATGAAGTTATCTAAATTTGCAGCAAGTTCCCATACTTTTAAAACAGACAACAGCTGCCCTCTGTTCAAGCTGCAGACTTACAAAAGGATGCTCTCTGTGGTTCACTACATCAGCAGGGATCTGTGAAAGTTACCTATGGCGAGAGATGAAATCTAAAATGTTAAATGTTTTTCTTTCCTCCACAGGTTGTTGCCTTTATGAATTCTCGTATTGGCCAATATTTAGATGACCATCCTTTTGTTGCGTTGTCACTCCTGATGTTTATTGCAGTGTCTGCTATCCCCGTGTCATTTTTCCTGATTTTTGTTGTTACAACAGCTGTGATGGCCTGTATTGGTGTGATAGTCATGGAAGGTACTGTCTGCATGTATGTACTTACCTATTCCCTTTTAAGGCATGTTATCTTTTCCTTCTTTTCTTCTTCCTTCTGGAATTCTGAGTCTGAGCAACTGAGGATTTCTATGTGTAGTCCTCAGGTCTCAGCAGTAGTAAAACTATTAATGTAAGAGTAGTAATCTGATTAACTGTAGTCTATACAGGGGAAATCCTATTTTCCTTTATAATCTCAGCCACCACGATACATCTAAACCAATTATCTTAACCATGGATGATTGAGGAAGATTGTTTTCCCAAATGGTTTGAAATTATGGTTGTGGTAGAACGTCAGCTCTCTTCTAATTCACTTGTACATAAACTTGTTTAAGTAACAAACTGCTTTTGTTTTATTAGGTGTTGTGATAGCCATAGGTGGCATAGCGCTCCTGTGTGTGCTGTGTGGCCTGGGGGCACTTTCCCTGGGAGTTTCTGGAGTGCTGAGTGTTTCTTACATTGCACTTTCAACTCTGGTCAACTACTGGTATTCTTCCAGGTGAGTGTGGATGTCTTGATCCATGCTTGGATTTCAGACTCTGCAGCTGTACTATTGCATGCATTTATTCTGAGGGAGTTGCTTAGTTTAACAACATCTCTTGAATGCTTTGAATCTCAGGCTACCCTTGTGGCTTAACGTGCAGTAGACAGATATCCAATCATCAAGATATATTTCAGTAAGAATTAATATGTGTTCTTCTTCCTTTATGAAAAGGAGGAAATGTAAATGGTCTTTAAATGTGCACGTGCTAACACAACACATTCAATAAAATACAGCTTTGTCTCACTAGAGTGTGTTGCTTTAAATCTCATTAAAACAGCCAAATTGAATTTTGTGTAGAGGATGAACTTTTTGCAGTTCTTCCTGCACGATAACCCAGCTTTCTCTGCTTACCTTGCATTTGTAGAGTAACAGACCAAAATTAGTTGTAGATTTAGGATAGGCAGGGTGGTAATTGAAAGGCATGATCAAAGTAGAAATAAGAGGATACTGCACACAGACAGTCATGTTTCCCAGGACTTTGTTCTCAGAATTCCATTGCAGCCAGCGTGGCCTCAGCCACACTTCTGTGAGCACCTGGCTGGGAGCAGGGGACACCAGCAGGTTGTGCTGGAGTGCCACCTCTGGCACCTGGAGATACCTTCCAGGGAAGGAATCACAATAATCACTTAAGCATAGGGAAGAGCAAGAAATAGAGTTACAAGTGCTCTCTCTTAGACTTTCTCAGTTTGCTCCTTCAGCACAAAACTGCCTGTGGAGCTGGTGATAGCAGCAGGGTGACAAAACCGTCATGCAAGGCCCAGGGGGCTCACATCTGTTCCAGGGCTCTGTACCACCCCTCCAGGGCATTGCTGCCAGGTCCATAACACTGCCCCCCAGTTCCAGAAGATTTCTATTTTTCATAGTATATCAAGTGCACAACCCATCATATTGACTTACAGCTCTGATGTTAAAACAGAAAATACCTGCTATTTTTACATTCCTGTGCCTTTTGAGAGAAGCTTGAGCAGCAGATGTTCCAGGAGTCTCAGACAACTTTACATGTTGCTTTTCTCAGCTTTCTTGAGCAAAAAGTTAAAATACAACAATTTCAAGGAAGAACAGACTGTAAAGCTATTCTTTTCCTATGTATACAGGGGTCAGCTAAGGAAGCAAGATGTTAATGGAAGTTTGCCCCAGAAGAAGTCAGGCTTGGATGTCTCTGCCAATAATGGAAAGAGTGAGTAAGTGGGTTTGTCCCCACTTCCTCCATAGGCACTTAACTGTCCAGCTCTGACCTTCATTATGTAACTGCTTACTCGTTGAGCATTCAGCCTTTGTGTGCTCCTTCTGGGAACTGACAAGAATCAATGTACATCTTACATCGTCACTGTAAAATGGATGCTAAGAATAACCATTAAGCAGCAGTGTATTGCAACAGTAAGTGTATGTAAATGATGGAATGCTCCACAGAGTTTGGTGAAGGGATGTGATAGTCACTGGTCCTGTTAAGTCAGTGGTAATTAGGGGAAAGAAGGAGTAGGGGTTTGATTTCTCGTTAGTTACTGGAGTTCTGGACATACTCTCTTGAAATTTGTGTGCAGGAGTTGGTCATTTTGAAACAGAAGTACCAAAGCTCAGAACAGCAGAGATGCATTTTGAATGTGGGGAAAAAAATACTTGCAAGCCTTAACAGCCTTTGTTAAAATAGTATGAGCATACCATGCTTTATATTTATTATACAGGGAAAATTGGGTTTTGTCATATATTAAGTCATGCTCTAAGCTTTTATCTACCTTTAGATGTTGCATTATTCCAAAGGGATATTTTCCTTGTTCTCATTGCCTCATTATAGCAATGGCATGCTTAAATAGTGTATTTTTTTCCTCTTTGTTTAGGTATTTAAACTGCCTGGTTTGCTTCTCAGTTGTAACTCCTTGTATGTTATTTAAACTTTTTCTGTTGTTTTTGCAAAAGCTATTATATTTTTAAGCATTATGAAACTAACTGTATTAGTTTAATAAAGTGCTGTTTGTTTAACCAGGTTGTCTTATTATCCTGTATATTCTACAATAAAAACTTTTCCACATCTAAGGTAGGCTACATTTCACCTTGATTGGAGTATTGTGGCTGGCCAGCCTTGCTGGGTCACCAACTGTAGATTACTCCCTCTCTCATTCTTGTAAAAAAAATGCAGAAGTCTAAGATCTAAATTAGTGTTTTACTTAGTTTTTCATGAACCAACATGCTATTTGGCTCCAACTTGGAGCAAATATTTTCAGCCATTAAGGTAAGCTGGCTGCACACTTCAGCAGTAAAATAATCTTTAGATTTCCAGGAGCCCTTTGTTTTAATGGCACATTAATTCAGCAAACAAATATTACAAAGCCATCTAGCCAGCCATCCCTTTATACCCTCATCTTCTGCTGAAGGGAACAGGCATTACTTAAGTTCAGCAGACAGCAAGTTAATTTATTCCTACTCAGAGTCTAACCCCACATGAACCATTTCCTTCTGAATTTTAAATTTATTTTTTATCATGTAATTCGTTGTGTCATCAGCACTTACTAGGAGCTAAACCTGTGAATTCTCAGTTACCAGCAGGTATAACATGGAGCAGTTTCACTCCTGCTGCCCTGACCTTTGCTTGTTTATCAGTCTGTCCTTTAAGGCTTCTTATTGGGCCCTTTTAAGAAGAGCTGCCTTCTGTGCTGTGCCTTCGCTGCATTAATATGGTTTTCCATGGGGATATGCTAAGGAAAAAACTAGGTCAGCACAGAGTAGGTGTTTTTACTGCAGACAGCAAGGCCATCCCTTAAATGAGGGCATAGGTTGTTTTTTTCTTTAAATTATTAAACACTGCAGTAGAGCTAAGAAGCCCTCAGCAGGAGAGGCTGAGGAGATGCTGCCAAGTCCCCTTTTTCTCAGTTGCTCTCTTAGCTTCCTGCAGAACTGCACCAGCCCAGCAAGGAACTGGCAGGAGACTTTCACATCCCAGTGGCACCATTCCCAACCAGGTCTCTAAGGATCCAGCTCCCTGCCCCTTACTTTGGGCATAAACATGCCTTAGTGGACAACTACTCTTGTAGCCCTAATCCCTACATCCTGGGGACCCCAAACACCTGAAGTCTAAGGGAATTGGGAGCTGCCAACTGTGATACAGTTCCTGAAGCAGCTGTTTGAGCTCAGGCTGCAGAGAGCCAGTGCTGCCTACACCTGTAACAGGTGACTAATTGCTCTGCCTCCTCTTGCTGTACACTGTCATTCCACTTTGCCCTCCCCTGTGTCAGGAGAGAGGGACAGTCCTTTGGACTTGCAATGGGAGCTTAAACTTTCCAGTTAACACACTTCAGCAGGGGACTGAGAAGCAGCAGCACACACAGAAGAGGGAAGGAAGGTGTGGCTGGGCTTTAAGGTAAGTTATTTACAAAGGAATAAAAGCCTGTGTTTTCCTTGATTTAAATAAATCACATGAGTCTTCATTCAAACTGCCCCTGCACTGTCCACAAGTAGAGCACAACTAAGCCAGCCTGGGAGAATTATATTTAAACCTCCACAAGACAGATCTCCTCTCATGTGCCACATCTGACAATCTTCCCCTAGGCAGACAGTATGAATCAGGGACAGAAGCCAGGCAAGAACAACCCTCCCTTTGACCTGGATGGCTGTCACCCTGTGCAACCTTTGTCTCGCTTGCCCAGGTAATAAAAATAGTACAAAATATAGAAGTCAAAGAACAAAAGTAAAGCTCTCACCTCCTCCCTTAGTGAGGAGACATGAGGTCTTTTAAATAGTGCAAGTCTCCAGATTCACATAAGCAAGCTATGTGAGAAATGTTTTAACACAGGGGAGTGTTAAAGTAGCATTTCTGTCCTGGAGTGTTTACACAACAGTCACTATAACATTGTTTAGTAAACTCCAGCCCTCCTAGCACAGACTCCATCCAGCAAAGAGAAACAAGGAAACCTCTGCCTGAGGACGTTCTCCCACACTTCAGAACAAGAAGGATGGAGAGAGGGGATATTAAGAATATTAGGTTTGCTTAGGTCAGAAGAGCTAAAAGCCCATACAGGTAAGTAGAACATGCTGTCAAGTACATAATCCCTCTTCATCAAGCACCACTTCATATTCCAGCCAAGTGCTAAGTCAACAGGACTTAAGTATAGTAGGAGGTTTGCTGGACAGTAGCCTAAGTAACCACTTCAACCCTAACCTCTATCTAACAGACAGTAAATGACTTGAAAATAAGTAGCTCCCAAATGAGATCCATGATTTCACTGTATTTATACTGACAGTATGATTTCCAGCTGCAGCACATAGCTCAGCATCCGGAAGAGCTACACAGACTGCAGGTACTGGCACAATGTGGATTTTTAAAAACCTATTTGAATGAAATCACACTTGTGAACAAAAACATTTGAGAAGCACTTCAAAAAGCAAACTGACTGCAGAGTCCAACAGGAATTTAACACAGCAATGAACAGTCCAAGAACAAAGACACTCAGGGAATTAAGTGTTATTGTCATTGCTAAAGCTAAATCTACAATAAGGAGATATTCAGGGGACCAGAAGTATTGAATTTTGTAAATACATGTAGGAGAGGGAATACATGACAGACATAATTGACAGAGTGACTACTCCAAGTTTATTTGGAAGTAATACACATTAATGTACCACATGTACCATGTGTGCTCTTCTCTTCAGGCATTTAAGAAGAGCCAAAAACAGCAGCATTGTGGCCACCAGAGAGAGAGTACCAACAGCAACCATTGCAAAACCAGCCCAGACCTCCTTCCTCAAAAGAGTGCTTCCTACAAAGCAAGGGGAGAGGTAGTTTGTGGAAACAGCTCTTCATTAGACCCACACAACACCCACCAGCACCACCACTGGCTCAGTACCTCGGGTTGTGGACCATCCTTCTGGCACAAAGCGGACAGGACCCTCCAGGCTCACCACTGCAGAGTTCACCTCTGGCCTCCCACTTTCTGCAACCAACAGAGCAGAGTTGAAGCCCACAGTGCAGTGGGCTGTCTTGGATCACTGCAACCTAAAAAGCTACTTCAGGCATTACCTCTCTTGCTTCTAGATAACCTCGGGCACCTTGCCATGCACAGTGGGGAGTCTGGGTGGAAACGGTCACAGAGCAGAGCACTGCAGTGGAAGTACACCTAGGACAGAGTGAGAAGTCCATTATTACTGTATTTTGAGACAGTAACTGCTCCTATTACTGCTCCCAAGTAGGACAATAATGTCACCTACCAGGCCAGAGAGGGCTTTGTCGCCAGAGACAAATGCAAAAGTCTTCACTTCCAGCCTTTGGCGATAGTTGGCATAGCTGACCCCATGCCCCACGGGATGGAACACAGTCCTGTAGCTGTCCAGGTCATACTCACACCTGCCAATAAGTAAGAAGCAAGTGAGAACAGCAGGGTAAAGAAAGTTTGGGTTGTTGAATTTGATTTTTTTTTTTTTAAGCAGCAAGACAGAGGTGCTACCATCATCTTCCCACAAATTCCAGCATTCCAGGGCAGTACTTGGAAGGCCACTTCAAGGCCTCCTCTGTTTCTCTGGCAGGGCACTCACCCATCAACAACAATATTCCACTGGGGAAGTGAGCTTGGATCTTGTGAAGCTGTTGCCCAACAGTCATCCAACACCAGGTGGACATTGGGATCATTGCGGTTCAGGACCTGAACTTCCAGGAAGATGGGCTGCCGTAGGTACCTCACTATGGGATACTGATCCTCACGGTATGGCTGCCTGTATGAGTCATCTGCAAGAACCAAAGCCCTGTTAGATAAGCCCCTGCAAAGAGGGTCCTGTAAACAGCTCTGGTCTCAAGCTCTTCAACAGCAGCTGGTTGAGCAGCCCCAGTCTGTCCCAGAGCCAAATTTGAGGCATCTGCTTCAAGTAGCGTGGCTGGGAGGAAAGGAAATATCAGAACACTGGAAACCCACATACCAGAACAATTCACTTGTACATCCTCCCCTCCACAAGCTCCACTTACTTCCCAGCCACTGAACCCAGAGTCAGCTTTACCTGGGTAGCTCAGGAGAACTAAGGAGAGGGGACCTCGGTTCACTGCAGAAGGCAGAGGAGGACGGTTGTCTACTTTTATAGTGAGGGAGGCATCACCACTGCTGAAGGAGCACAGGACTGTTAGCCTGTAACAAGGAAGGAGCAGGTAAGTCTTACATGAATATATGGGTAATACTTAGTCCTGGATATCCTGAAGAGGTTCCAGACACACCTGAGTTCACTGTCCCTTGAGATCCTGCCCAGTGGAACATCTGCTTGTAATGCCCTCACCTCATTCTCATAAACAATCTTCTCCCCATCAAACTGTGGATAAGGAGCAGCATTAGTGAGGGTATTCCAAGTGCATGCAGCCCACCCCCATCAATCCCAGCTACAGACTTACCCAGTACCTGGTCCCACACCCATTCAGCGGGACATGAAACCAAACCCTGTCATTCAAAGGCGACTTGAAGGCTGGCCGGCACGCAGGATCTCTGAGCCTGAGGGACTCCAAATCCAGCAGTGGTGTGGTACTGTCAGCAAGGATTTCGAAGTCCATGTGCCCATCCTGGGTGCACACAGCAGCTGTAACAGAGGTTCATGTCAGTTGTCTTGCCAGCCAGTGACAGCTCAGTCTGCCAAGAGCTGTTGGTGAGACAAACTGTTCCATCACAGGCAGGTGTAAGAACAAGGCTGCGCTGAAGAATCACCCCCCAGGCAGCACAGGGGCTGAGGCCACCGCAGAAGTCACTCACCCATCCGTGTGCGCTGGTCACAGGGGCACTCAGGGTGCATCACCATTGCCACGGTCTCCCCATGGAAGTGAAAAGCCAGTTTCAAAGAGGACAGGTAGGACTGAAGTCCTGAGCAGCTCTCCCCGTGTAGCTGAAGGACAAGAGTTACTGTCCTGGAGCAGAACTACACCTACATGTGTTAGAGCTGTTTAGCTCCCCCTGAGGCCATGATGCTTTTCACTCTCAGTTTATTTGCATGTCCCAGGTATGCAAAGTACCTACCCCCTCCAG